ATAATAACTTTCAGTTAAAGATCCAAGATAGTTAATTATGATCGGGAGTACGCGACTGAAAGATGCTTCTTTTACACAGCAAGAGCTTCTGCTCTAACTCGGACTCTAGAGTCCGATCTTTGTGAAACTGTCAGAACTTAAACTTAACTCCTCCTGGAGTTATCTGGCAGTCAGCCAAAAAATCGCAAGCACTATGCCAAAAGAGAAATATTCCATTGGCTAAATATACTCAACGAAAAAATAATAAATTTCAGTTGAAGTCCGAGGAGCTGTTTCCCAAAATTGAGGCATAAAAGTTAATCATAAACAAATTGAAAATTTCTCTTTAAGTTCGGGGCATAAAAATTAATCATAACTTAATCCAAATCGATTGATTTATGCGCTTACTTTGAATTTCGTCTTGCATTTATAGCATTTTCCAAATTGTGTTGCTTCTGTGGAATATGATGAGATGGCATATACGACTTGGCAATCGAAAGGCACTCCAAACGCAAATCTTGATATCCCCCGAAGACAACAGCCCGATTTCCGAAAACAAAATAAAAGCATTTATACATTAATATTACCGATTACCCATGCAAAGCACTTCACACACAAACCAGATAAAGGTCTTTCGGGGTAAGCGCTATCGCTTATCTCCAGACAAGACGACAAAAGGTTCTCCGGCCGAACGGGGCATAGCTATATAAAAACCTACCGCCGGCTTGTCCACAAAGCCAAACACACAAATCGATCGAACATGGTCAAGACGTTGGCAACCTTGCTCAACCTGTTCTCGGGTCTGGTGCTGATCGGCGCCTTGGTGCCGGATATGGAGTTGCGACAGGAATATCGCATCGAACCGCAGCAATATCAACAGCTGATGCGGCTGCAGAGTCTGGGCATGGATTTCATGCAATACTTTCAAAACATAACGTTGCAAGACTTGGATATACCCAGCACACGTCTGCCCAGCAAGGAGGATCTGCAGTGCCTGGCCGACATGAGTCTGTGGATGAAGGGTCTAACCACCGGCCGCTATTGGTCCCTGAAAAGTGTGTAAAGCTCGAACGGCTGACAGAATTCAGTATCTCAATAACATTCTCGCTGTGTTTGTAGTGATTGATGCCTGGGGCTCGATTCCGTCGGGCATACTCTATCTGAATCTGGTGGATGTTGGCAACTATGGCGAATGCATCAAGATTAGCCAGGATGCCATTAGGGGCAAATACTGCCTGGTCGAGTTGCCCTTTTTAGGTTTACTGGGCGTTGATTCGTCCATCATACGTAGCAGCAAGCTCAAGATTGGCATTTGCTTTCCCGCCACCTGTACGGCGACGCATATGGACACGTTCCTGAACAAGATTGTCCAGCAGGCTCTCGGCGTGACCAGCACGGCGGAGCTGGTGAATGCCAACAGTTGCCGCACCAATGAAGCTCAACCGCTCGATGGTCTAACCATATTGGCAATGTAAGTGCGTACATCCCTGCGAAATATCCATTTGCTAATCCATAGTCGTTATAGTGTGCTCCTCTCCGTATTCGCTGCACTCGCACTTCTTGCCACGTTATATGATTATTTTCTGTGCCCCGATCAAAGTGAGTAGCTGCCCAGATTTTCACTAAATCTTGATACGACTCCATAACTCAATGTCTTCCATTTGCAACTCCAGCTCGTTTGCCGTCCTTGATTAGGGTCTTTTCCATACGCGCCACATCTCGTGCACTGTTCCGCATCAGCCAGCCCAGGTCCAATCCGAATGTCATCGATTGTCTGCACGGCCTGCGCTGCATGTCCCTCATCTGGGTGGTCTTTGGACACGAGTACATGTTCGGCATGGTTGCTCCCAATGTAAACAGAGGCAGTGTGCTCTATGTAGGCGATACAACAGCAGGAAGTCCTTGAACATAGTTCTGACAGTGCAACTTGATTGTCCTTTCACAGTGGCTCGAAAGACCTTTCGCTCAGCTCATCGTACACGCCGTGTTCTCCGTGGACACGTTCTTCTTCCTGAGCGGCCTGCTGGTGGTAATGATTGCACTGCGTTCCATGGAACGGACAAAGGGCAGGCTGAATGTCCCACTGATGTATCTACATCGCTATCTGCGGCTCACCCCTCTGCTGGCCATGGCCATACTGGTCTACATGACGATGATACCCGTGCTGGTCGATGGTCCGCTGGATAAGGATGGCTTTGATGATTACAGCAAATGTTCACGCACCTGGTTTTTGACGCTGCTCTATGTGCAGAACTATGCCACCGATGATATTGTAAGTAGTTGATAACATTTACCAGGCACCCTTAACATGCATGTTACCGGCTCTCAATGTGTATTTAGTGCCTCGGCCATAGCTGGTACCTCAGCGTGGATATGCAGATGTATCTACTCTCACCCATACTGCTCTTTGCGCTCTACAAATGGGGCAAGAAGGCCGCCATTGGGGCTGTGATCCTAATTGTGCTGTTAACCATTTGGCTATTTACCGTCATGATGGTCAAGAATATGTCCATGTTCGTCAAGTGAGTACTTAAGGGAAATTAAATAATAGAAACTAGAGCATCCAATTTAATGACATTCAGCTAACCCTAACCTCACTTTGACACGATCTAACCTCACACTGACACGACCTAACCTCACTTTACATTATATGCTCTGCTAAAGCTTCTGCTGCCTTGCAGAAGTGCTGTAAAACAACAACGAAAATCATATAATATAATCTTGGATAGTCTATTCCATAGCATTTCTCTTATCCTATTCTATCCCCACGCTAACCCAACATAACCTCACTTTATCTTCTCCTGCTGCTCTGCATAAATGCTAGAAACGTAAAATTTACATTAATGCAATAAAAACTAGCACATCGTATCCCAGTTCATGCATCCAATCCTATTCTAAACCCACGCTAACACAACATAACCTCACTTTATACAATTGCTTAACCCAACCTAACCTCACTTGTCCATTTTTCTTATTCTGCAACTGTAGAGAAACTTTGTAAATAATTGGAAATGCAAATCAAAAGATAGAATCTTAAGCATTCTAATCCATGCCATTTATCTAATCCTATTCTATCTCCCGCTAACGCAACATAACCTCACTTACCCCAATCTAACCACACTTACCGCATTATCTTCTTCTTTGGCTGGTTTGCAGAAACGTTGGAAATGGTCCAAATGGTCGAATACTCTATTTCGGCACACACATGCACGGCACACCATGGCTAATTGGCGCCGTTTTTGGTTATTTCCTGCATGCGAATCGTGGCAAATCCTTCAAGCTGAACCGCATTGCCGTCTGGTCCGGCTGGGTGTCCGCCCTGGTCATATTCTTTCTGTGCGAATTTGTGCTGCTGCCATATGTTGAATGGACCGGTCCGGATTTGTCGCAGCTAAGCGATGCCCTCTACTATTCGCTAACCCGCATTGGCTGGCCCATCGGACTCTGCTGGGTGGTATTCGCCTGCATGCAGGGCTACGGCGGCATGGCCGACAGCTTCCTCTCCAGCCCGCTGTGGCAGCCGCTGTCGAAGCTCTCCTATTCGGCCTACGTGTGGCACATTATGATACAGGAAATAAATGGGCGACGTGTCCAGACCAACACATACTTCTCCAACTACGAAATGGTAAGTGCTGCAGCGAGACTCAACCGTTCTGCTTGAGCCCAACTAAACGTTTCTGCACAGATGCTGAAATTCTGGGCGGACTTTGGCTTCACCCTGCTGACCGCCTATTTCATGTACATCATCATCGAGGCGCCGCTGAGCGGCCTGGAGAGCCTGATGCTGCCCAGCCCAAAACCAGTTATCTCCGTCGAGTCCAAGCGGGCGGCAACCGCGGCACCAGCTCCACAGCTCGCCGAGAAGTCGCCCATTCCGCAGCCGGCGTCTGATCTGGAAGCGGGCCCGGCTGGCGCGTCGAGTGCGCCACCTGTGAGCACATAATCTTTGTATTAGTATAAATATTTAGGTTCTTTTTTTTTTTGTTTTTGTTATTTATATAATATTTATATAAACTTATGCTCAAGTAGAAACTAAGCTAAACTAAACTTATTTAAATAAATATATATTTAAACTATGAAACGAACTTGTTTTGTGGAATTAAGGGAATTTAGAATAAAAGCGTGTGGTTCCGGGCTCGAACCACGCCGTCATATTTCGATTAGCTGTGCCAGCTGTTCCCTGAACTTGTCAGTCTAAACGCAAAGTCAAGTGGCCGGCAGCTGGCAGCTGGCAGAGGGCGGCCTTCGGCTCAAAGCCAGTCCGAAGACTATAAAATCGCAATTAGCCTTACGGCAGCCGGCTGTGAATCAGTTTGGCGTTGTCAATCGTTTGGCTACTTGTGGGCCATTTGATAAGGTGCTATGATTATTTTATTGTCCAATTCGAATGACTCGTAAATGTTTCATTCATGACACTATCTAAGTATAATCTAGCCGCCAAGCTTATCACAATTTTAAAAACAATTGCAATTATGCTGTACAGTTTAATCAATATTTGAATAGTAACACTATAATAGAGTCACGCACTTGAGGGTCGACTCCAAAAAAAACAAACTAAAAAATGCGTAAAAAGTTTTTAAAAAGCGAGAATCTCTATTCATAATAATCAATCAATCAATAGCCGAGCTGATCTGTCTCTAGATTTCAGGGACTTTTAGAGCTAGAGACTTCACATTTTTAACGTTACATATCATCGATAACTCACGCCGTTTTCATATTATCGATACGTTTCAATATCAACATCCTGCTCATCTCTAATTTATAGGATTCTAGCATATTCTGTGTTCTGGCATTGTAAATCCCAAAAGTTGCCCTTGTCCAGCATAAATATTCCTCAATTCTGGAGTATTAATTTCTAAAAGTTTCCATTTCAATAATAAATATTTTATATCCCAAAAGTAGCCATTTACGAGCACTTAATAAAAATCTTCCAAAAACAACGAACTGATATTAAAAACTTAAATGTACTATCGCAAAAAGATGGCATACTTTTGGGCTTATAATTTGCTGGATTAACAATATTTACGATAATCTGATAAATAGAAATTGTGACGGGCTAAACTGCAATAGACTCTTCTATTGCTATCCTTATCGAATCAATGGTTAGCTCATCTGATTTTCGAATTTGAATCGTAATGGACGTCCACATTCAATAAACCAGATTTTATTGGAATATGAAAGTGATATCGTTTCGGCTCAGATCCGTAAAACAGCATTTAAGAGCATAAAACTACATTTGAAAATCTAACGGCCCATTTTCGAAGCGCTTTTGCAGCCCTGAACTCATAAGCTGCACTGCAGCCCTGCCAAGTTCGACTTTCGTTAGTTGTGTTATTGATCATATTAACCGTTAAAGATTATTGTTAAAATACTGCAAAATATATCTAAATAAATTACGAAGAGCTTAGCTTACTTAGGAATTAAATGAAACGTCTTGCTACCTAATTAATCGGCGCTGTTTTGGGCTCCAGCGCAGGCGCAATTTCAATGCAAGCTGGCTCCGGCTCGGCTCTGGGGCTCTTGACAGCTGGAGCAGGCTGGCTTCTGGGCGCGCGAGTGGGAAACAATAACATCTCCAGGCCGCCGAAAGGTGCCTCGACCAAGAGGAACATGAAATAGGCCAACAAAATGGTAAAGCCAAAGTCATGCCAGAAGCGCAACATCTGCAATAAAAAAAAAAACACAATTATAGATATATGGCAGAAGGCGCAACAGATGCGTAAGATAACGCACCACTTGATAGTCGCTGAAGTAGGTGCTGGTGCGCGTGATGCCGCCATTGAGAATCTCGATGAGTATGTGCCAGATGTAGGCGCCGTAGGAGAGCTTCGACAGCGGCTGCCACAGCGGGCTGGAGAGGAAGCTGTTGGCCAAACCGCCGTAGCCGTATTTGCAGGCGAACACCAGCCAAACGAGTGCCAGGGGCCAGGCAATCCGTGTTAGCGTCACGTAGAATGCCTCATTAACGATGGGCAAATGATTGCCGTTCGCCGGATATGGATAGAGCGCGAACAGGCAGGTAAAGATCAGGCCCAGGCTGATGAGCCAGCCTAGCCAGACGGTTAGACGATTCAGCTTAAAGGTTTTGCCGCGATTCACATGCAAATAATAGCCAAAGATAAGGCCAATTATCCAGGGCGAGGCGCGTGTGTGCGTTGTAAAGTATATTTCATCGGACATGCCACCAGAAGATCTATAATAAATACAAACGTCTTAAAATGTAAGAACACTGTAAGAATTTAGTGGCAACGCTGTCAATTTAACATTAGCCTGTAAATTGCAAGCAGCGTTGCCATTTGCGCGCAGCACTGCAATTCTAGCAGGTCACAATTCAAATTGCAAACTAATTAACAGCTGTCAGCTGAAAAAGTAAGACAAGCAGGCAACACTGCAAACATTTGCAACCGCCTGGCAAATATTTAAACAATTGACATGAACATGATAAAGTAATTATCGAAGCTCGACAACGCGAGCAGTGTTGCCAGTGTTGTTAAAGTAATACAAATTGGCAGCACTGTTATTGCTAACTTGAACTGCCCTTTAGGCTAGATACTTACAAGCTGTAGCCCCTGACTACCATCATGCTGAAGAGGCATGCAGCCAACAGCAGCATGAGCACCACAATGCCGGCAATGGCCTTTTTGCCCCACTTGTAGAGCGCAATCAGCAACAGGGGCGATATGATATACAGCTGCATGTCCACGCCCAGATACCAGCTGTGGGGCAGGCACTGCAATGGCAAAGATAACACTTAGTTTGACTTTATAGATTAACATTGAACTTTGTCACCTACCACAGTGTTGGTGGCATAGTTTTGCACATAGAGCAGGGTCCAGAACCAGTTGTCCTCGCAGGGCGCCGAGAGTTGACTAACCAGGCCCTTATAGAGCGGACCGGCGCCCAGGAGGGGCAGGATTCTCATGTAGCACAGTATTGCGAAGGCGACGACAGGCGTGAGGCGCAGATAACGATGCAGATACATTAGCGGCACATTCAGCTTGCCCTTGGTTCTGAAAGAGAGCCAAGTGAGGTTAGGTGCTTCCAACAATTTCTTCTTAATGTATAAATTATTAATTACAGCTATTATTATGTTAATTTGAAATTAAAGAAATATATTCCTTTAAAATAAATCAATCATCTTTCGAACTTCTACGCCGAAGCCAGATAACGTATTAGATCGAATCCTAAATGGAATCTTTTATAATTCGGGGATTTCCCTTGAATTCTTTTGTAATTCGGGGAATTTCCCTGACTGGAATATGTGTATATGACATAGTTAATTCGTTAATAAAGAATTCAAGAAATATATTTTTTAAATAAATCGAATAAATAAGTAAATCGAACCCTGAACCGAATTCTTTTTCAATTCGGGGGATTTCCCCTACCTAAACCAGACATCCCATTAAATCGAACCCTGGACCGAAATAATTTTCAATTCGCGGAATTTTCCTATATATGAGATGACAGATAGTTACCTTTCCATGGAGCGCAGAGCAACCATAACGACAAGCAGGCCGCTGAGGAAGAAGAAGGTGTCCACGGAGAAGAGGCCATGGATAATGAACATGCTGAAGGGCGATCGATACCACTGGAGAGGATATGGAAAATGCAGATTAGTTAGGCCAATGGGCAATAGCTGTGATTGCGTCCGAACTAACCGGTATGACATCCACCAGATTAATATTGGGCGATAGGCCTTGAATGATATAGTCATGGCCGTAAATCACCCAGATAAGCGAGAGGCAGCGTATGCCGTGCAGACAGTCGATGACATTCGGATTCGTTTTGCTGTCCACAATGCGGAAGAGCGCGCGCGAATTGGCACGTGCCGAAAACACCTTGACCAAGGCGGGCAAATGCTCTGCAAGGAGATCGTCTCGATCAGACACAGCAGCAGCGGGATTATGCTTAGCTACTTACTCTGATCCGCGCACAGGAAGTAATCGTAGAGCGTGGCCAGCAGCAGGGCAGCGACCAAGACACACATGAGCACGCTGTAAGTACATATGCATTAGCTGGCTGGATGAATGGATGCAGTGCAGCATTTGGCAATACTTACATGGTAAATATGGCCAGACCATCGAGCGACTCACGCTCCGCGGTCTGGCAGCTGGCGGCATTGATCAGCTGCGTGTCGGTGCTCAGTTCAATGTTGAGCAGCTGCTTGAAAAGCTGTCGGAGCAGCGTCTCCATGTGCTCGCCCGTGCAGCTGGCGGGCAGGCAAATCGCCGTCTGCACGCCCAGCATGCCCAGGGCGCCGGCATTGCCGGCCAACATGTTGCCGGACAACAATTTGGCCATGCAGTATTTGCCGCGCAGACTGTGGCCCGTGCTTGCCACCAGCTGATTCACCCTGATGCACTCATCAAAGTTGCCCAGATCCTTTAGATTGCCATAGAGCATGCCCGCGGGCAAACGGCCCCAAGAGTCGATCACTAAATGAGGGAGAGAGGAAGAGGTAGCGAGTTACAGTTAGGCAGTTACGCGCGCAACCGAATGCCACTTACTGCGCAGCGCCCAAATGCTGCCCGTTTGCACGCCCTGGCTGAGCGTTGCCACCTCGGCCAAGCACTGCAGATCCTGTTGATTGGGCAGCCCTGTGCCGGGTATCAACAGATCGCCGCTCGTTATGTTTCGATAATAATCGATAAACTCGACCGCCAAAGGGCGCAACTGCATCAGCCGCTGATAACGATCAATGTCCAGGGACTCGCCGCCGGCGGCCGCCAGGATGCACAGCAAAAGCGCAAAGCCAATTTTATACATTTTCCACGGCAATTGCAGCGGTCTTCAATCGGATTTGAATGCGCTGCGTTGCCTTTTATACGTTACGCGCAAAACCGCGATAAGATTTAGCTGGATCTGCTTGCGACTTAACAATATTCGTCAGAACCTAATCAATAATTGGCCATTGATTAGACCGCGGCGACAGACAGCACTCGCCCGGCCTCGTCGTGCCGCCCGATTTGAAAACCGACGCGTGAATCGCGAACCGCGAACCGTAAATCGCTGACTAATTATTAAGCAGCAGCCAGTCAGTGTCCAGGGGCATTCTCTTCGTCATATCAGCAGCAGGTTCAAGGTGCCAACCAGATGGGCTTTACCCTGATCTCTTGGCTACACCTGTTCGCTGGTGCGTATGTACTCGACGCTACCAGATGAAGGTAACGTTCTTTCACGTGAAAACATGTATCAAATGTCCTATGCTAATTGATTGATTGACTGACGACTTGACGGATTGATGGAAACTTTCACTTTCGCTTACACTTTTATCGTAGGTAGGAGACTTTAAAACTTCACCTAAAAGTTCTTTCAAGCAAGACAGTTTTGAGAAGGATTTCACCTCTTCTGGCCAATCCACCTGCCTTGGTGAAAGTTGCGGTTAAAGGTTGATCGAGTGGAAGCTTAGAGGCTGTAGAAAATCTACCTAATAATCGAAAAGTAAAGCTTGAGCTAATGTTAAAGTTCAAGACTTGAACCGAGCAAAGCAAATAATTGTATTACATATACTTTGATAGTTAAATATTTAAAGAAAAAGGAAGCCAAATATAGGCCATCATCGTGATGTGCCCACGTATCGGCTAATGCTAATCTAATCCGGTACTTAAAAGTTGTCTGGATGATTGAAATCAAAGTTTATTGGCCCAATAACAATAAGTCTGCTGTGCATTGAGATATTCTGATCCGAAGTCCAATCGACCTTTGAAACTGGAAAGCATAACCTAACCTAACTTTATATTTATACCGTTATTATGTGTTTTATTATCAGAGTTACAAGTTCGATATTTATTTTTGTTTTGTATTGTTTAGGGAATTTGGATACATTAATCGGACTGACCCATAAAATTATGACATGCTCAGCCTTGGCTATCTAATCGAATGTCAGATTGGGCTGCACGTGTTTCTAAGAAACATTTTCGCATAAACAAAAGCAATTCCAAATAACTCAAATTAGAAGTGCCAAATGATCGATATTGTCATCGCACGATGATTCATTCGAATTCGTAAACAATATTTACTAATAATAAGTAAAATAAAATACAATTTTACACAAATCGGCTAATCTAATCGACGAGCACGATTTCAAGCAAGGCCAATGAAAGAAATAAGAGCAGAAACGTGCAATATTTAAAGAGAAGTCAGTTATAAAGAAATCCATATCTAAATTAATTGGCTACTTAAGTAGTTGCTTTGCTGATAAACTATTTTCGGGCAGTTTGTTGTTGTTGAAGCTGTCGCACAGAGCTTCGTGGTAACTGTACAGTCAGTTGATAAACTTATGTTGTAAACTCGACTATCGCTGGTTAAAGCCGATCATAAACAATATTGTTGGCATTTTATTGATTAGTGTGAAATTCATAATGTAATAAAAAACTCACGAATTTTACCTTATGCAACGCGACCCACAAGTGCGAAAAATTGCGGAAAACTATTTTCATCTGACTTACATTCAATTTCAAAACTCTTTGTGTAACTTCTCCAAAGATATATAAAGTTTAGTCCAAAGTTGTAGTGTTAAAAATAGGCACGGCTAAAATTGTGGCTAAATTTAAATTTGAAAAGCCCGCGCCAAGATATCATAGTATAATAACAGTTATCGATAGCTGCGTGAATCGATAAAATCAATCCAAATTCAATATTTTCAGGGTAGTTTTTTTTTACAGCTAGAACAGCAAAGCTATGTCAATAGTGACGTCATCTTGTTATGTCAATCATATTTTGGCTGAAAACACACAGAAAAGTTTACTGCTTACAGTTGTTATGTTCGCAGTTTATTAAAGCTTATATCTCCAAATGTAAACATTTCTATTTATTAATATATATATAGAGCGTGATATATGAGTGACCATTCTGCTGGCCACTAAGCAACTCTGCAGCTACCATTCGCGTGTACACGCTCCGTGCAGCTCTGTGTGTATTGCGAAAAGAAGAAGAATATGAGAGCTGACAGCTGTCAACTCGCTTTTCCTTTCTTTCCGGTCTCTGCTCCATAGAAGACGCAAAGTACGTGAAATATATAAAAAGAATCTGTAAAATAATTGCGAATCCGCCAAAGTGTTTAGCTAAATGAAATTGCAGTGAATGCGCTGTGAAACGCAACAGCTGTCAATATACGTGTTATGTGCATATTTATTAAAGTTTGCCATTTATTTTGACATTTAAATGTCGCACAGCGTCTTGTCAACAAGACCCGAACAAACCGAACCACCACAACAACAACAACAACACAAGTTCTAATAAGTTTATATATTTTTTTTTTATCTTTTTGTTTTCGTTACGTGCAGCATGTTCATGCCAAAGGCTCATCGTGTCGCCATTTATGAGTACCTCTTCAAGGAGGGCGTCATTGTGGCCAAAAAGGATTTCCATGCACAGAAGCATCCCGAACTGGAGTCGATCCCCAATTTGCATGTCATCAAGGCACTGCAATCTCTGCACTCGCGCGGTCTCGTCAAGGAGCAGTTCGCATGGAGGCACTACTACTGGTATCTGACCAACGAGGGCATTGAGGAGCTGCGCAGCTATCTGCATTTGCCGCCCGAAATTGTGCCCTCCACTCTGAAGCGGCCGACACGCTCGGAACCGTTGCGTCCACGCCCAGCGGCTGGTGGACCACGCGGCCCAGCCGATGCCTCCAAAACGGGCGAAGATCGTTCTGCCTACAGACGCGCACCCGGCGGCAGCGGTGTGGACAAGAAGGGCGATGTCGGACCCGGCGCCGGTGAGGTCGAGTTCCGTGGCGGCTTTGGACGTGGCTCGCGCAACTAGACAGCGTTTTTTTTTATTCAACTTAAATTTAAACGAGTTCCCAACTCTGGAACTAACCCAACAACAACAACAAAAAACTAAGAAAAAACAAACAAAATTGTGTGAATGTTTTGTATTATGAAGCAGAAGATTGCAGCAATGCAATACGACAAATTATAAAGCAAGCGCAAAGTGAAACAAGAATTTTATTCGTCTCTTTCTTTTTTTTTTAATATTTTTTTTTTTCTGCAAAAGTTTACGCGCGCTTTTCTCGCTGAGATGCGCAGCTCTAAAGCTGGCCGAATCGTATGTACAGTGGACGCTCGCAAAGGCGAACACGCCTTGCTGCAATTAATTTGGAAGAAACGACCAGTCGAGTCGTTTTAGCCATGTTTGACTGTATATTTGTCAAGTAGTCTCTGCCTTAAGGCTTTCTTAGGATCTGGAACTCAGCAAGGAGTTGGCTCTAATCCCATTGGAGAGCGACCATTGCAATTGTTATTACTGTAGGATATATTTAAAAGATATCCATTTACATTACATTAAAAAATCACATTGGCTACAGTGGAACGTCCGAGGATTTGAACCCGAATGCTCTATTCTTTTGTATAATGCGTCTTGATCTTGAGGATAATGCATAAACGATATAGGAAGAAAATAACTCACCTTTAGAGCGAAGATGAGAAGAGTAGAGTGAAGGCTGCCTTGAACGCTCACGCCTGGTTCTCCAGTTGCTTTGTTCCGACGGAAGTCCTCTCCAATGATGCGAGAAATCCTTGTCCTTATTCAAACATATATATCTAGGCATATTTATGATAAACTTAATGTCAGATTTGGATGAAAAGCAGCAGAAAGGTTTTTTTCACATTTATATTTGAAGGTATTACAAAGAATAATTTCAGATATTCAGTTATTTTATATCAATAAATAAAGGTATATATATATATATATAAATTGCAAATTGTCGAAAACTTTTGGCCAAATGGATGATGGATGATAACCAGGTTAGCCGCAGCTTTAAACAGTTCGCTGTAATCTTTATTAAAGTTTATACGTAATTATAGGAATCTTTTCAAGACTTGCCCAGAGCGGGGGGAATTCCAGCTTTGAATGTCGAGAGAAGGGCGAACTTAATGCAATTAGTTCCCAGGAAATTCGATGCTCGATAAACAATAAACAAAATGCCAGCAGAAAGAGCAAAAAAATAAAGAAAAAATCATAATATTTAGCTGACTGTTGGGCGTTTTTTTTTTTTTTTTTTTTTTTTTTTTATGATACGAAATCGAGCCCGAAAGCCTTTCCAAATATTTGCACAGCCATTGGAAACCGGAGCGGAGCGTAAACAAATGGAAGAATTTCGCCTGGGGCTGGCTTACCAAGAAGCACAGCTGCGCACGGACTGGAAAACTAAAGCAATTTCTCAATTATATACAATTTGTTTAAATAAAATGTACACTTAAGCTAAAGCGTAAATGGTATATCATTTAAATATATATATATATATATGCGGCATATTCTTGATATATGTGGACTATCGTCGCTTTATGCAGATTTTGCCCTTGGCCAAATGCGACATGTTGATCTTGAATTTGCTTTCATTGGAGCGCTTGACCCAAATCTGTGAAGAGAGATGAAAAACGAGATTAATATCAAACCAATGCCAAACCAAGCTGTCGTCAGAAATATTTCAATAGGCTCAGTTTTGTGGGAAGTGAGGATTAGGGTAAGGTATAGACAGATAAACCTTGTAGAGCTGTGTCTTAATCTTGGCTCCAAGTTAAGCTCAAGCGAAATTTGCCGTTTGGAAACGGAGCAAGTTATCAAAGATTGATTTGCCTGGGCACAGGAAGAAGCAACGTGTCTAATTCTCTGTGCTGGAGACTGACTGAGAGCCTGAATGGAGTGGGAAAGGTCGGACGAGTTCATTCTGACTGTCAGCTGCTGGGCACAGGCTGTAAGCAGGCTGAGAGATTGGTTGGAAAATACGCACCACCTCGTTGCCAATGGCTGTGATGGTGGCCGCAAACTTGTTCATGTCCTTGCCCTCAACATAGATCTGCTGGCCGCGACAGAACCAGCGGCGCTCGTAGAGCAGCTTGTTGTCCTCGATGCGTGTCTCCACATAGCTATTCGACTCGGCCAGCAGGTTGTGTGCCTGCTGCTGCTGCTGTTGCTGCTGCTGGGTATTCGTGTAGGAGCCCATGCCGTTCTGTTGCAGCGGCATCGGTTTGCCGCGCTGTATCATCTTGAGATCCGATTCGATTTCCTTGTCATCCAGCTGGTAGACCAACAGCTGGCCGGTGGCGGGCTTCCGTCGCTTTTCGATCACCGGCAGCGGCTCGTTGGGCCGACGACGCAGCTTGCGCGTCACCGTTGTCTTGATCTCCATCGAATCGTTGGTCAGCTCCAAGCTGTAGCGTTCGTTCTCAATCTGACGCTTGCGATCCTCAAAGTCTGCTATTAGATTATCCTTGAGATCCATCATCTTCTCATCGAACTCCTTTTGGGCAGCCTTCTTCTCCAGTATATAGTCGCGCTCGACGCATTCGCGCATATAATCCTTGTAGATCTCGTTCAGACGTCGACGCTCCTTTAGCTGATTGTCCAGCTTGCGTACACGCTTCATATATTCCGGATGTATCAGCTGATTCAGCTCCTCCAGCTGCTTCTGCAGATTAATTAGCTTGTGCTGGTACATTCTGCAAAACAAAAAAGAGAATATCAATTGAAATGAAAATGTTTGGCTAGCTTTTCTTTTATATACAACTTACTGTTCCTTAAGCTCGCTGTTGCTGCCAATGTTGTTGTGGTTGTTGTTGCTGTTGATGATGATGTTGTTGTTGTTGTTATTGTTGTTGTTGTGGCTACTGATGATGATGTTGTTGTTGTTGTTGTTGCTGTTGTTGGAAGAGTTGCCGTTGGTTCCGCCATAGCGATGGGGACTGCGGAACTCCGTTTCGCTAGCGTCGTCAGTATCTGGAATTGTGAAACGTTCCATGGTTGAGAGTCGACTGCGTTTAGATTAGATATTTGGCGGACTGGCGGCCGACTTGAGCACTTGCCACCTCCGCGGCGGCAGCCAGCACCTCGTTTGCGCTTACCTTCTTCGCTGCGTTCATCTCCAATCGACTCGTCGTCGTAGTTGTCGCCCGAGTACAGCGTGTAGTAGGCGTTCATTTTGCTCAGTGTATACGACAGCTTAACTGGCAGGCAATTAACACTTTTATGCTTAAAATTTTTCAGTTTTTTAGTAATTTTATTGCAATTGTTTATATTTGTTGCGCTGATAATGTACATACACACACAAACGCAGGGCAGACAGCTAAAAAGTGTTGCACAGTGCAAAATGCACAGCGTTGCTGCGATTTAATCGATAATTGTTAACATGTTTTACAACACTTAATACGTGACACGTTAATTTAATGCAATGTGCAGTGTGACCAGCTATATATTTTTATTTAAATTGGGGCGCTGTCGTTAGATTTGAATTTACGTTAGTCGAAATGATTAAATAATTAAAGTGCCAAACGAACGATTTCGAAGGCACCAAATAAGTTTAATCGAATAAAACAAAATGCAAATAGCAATAGTATAACAGCATTAACACGTGCACTTAAGAACTTACCCTCTAAAAAACTGAAGATAAACAATGATCGAGAACATTCTACATAACATTTATATGTATATATTTATATATATATATTAATATATTGTGTGATTCATTCTATATTATTATGAATGAATATACGACAGATCAAAAGATATAATGTTTCTACCCACAATTAAGAGCGCCCACATTTTTATACATATATAGTTTTTAGTGCTCATTTGTTTCATTTCGAAATATTTCAATGCGCATAAGGAATGTTTGAAGTTATGACAACACAAATATGCCAACATCTGTACACACATAGATATTACATATTATTGTCGAAACACTTTTAGTTTTGCTTGCCAAATGCTCATGCTTTGCCCCAGCCCCTTTCCCTGTCCCCGTCCGAGTCTTGTCCGCCTTGTGCGCTGACACATACGTATGAAAACGCTGTCGTCAAGCGTTGACGCCCACGCATAAGATCCATTTGCCTTAGTTGAATAATTGGCGTATTATACATCAGCCAAAAATTCCATGCTAAATCATCGCGAGCGAATTTTGATTGATTTGCAGTTGTCCCGGCAAAATTGTGCTTAAATACCTATGCTTGTGTATGTATAACGGCCCACAGTCAAATCTCGACTAACGAACCAGTGTTGGGTAACCGATTTTCTCCCAACCCATGAAAAAGAGTACCGTTAGATTTGATTCGTTTGCACAAGAGATCAATTTTTGTTAGCAGCATAGAGAATCTAGGGTTTACCCAAGGCAGATTTTACTGTATTTAAGTATATTCATAAATCTATATGAGACAGATGCAGATGAACATTCTCGACGATGCTATGGGAAATTTGTTTTTCTTAATTTCAACGTTAGTCGCTTTTTGCGCTTCGCATATTGCCAATGCACACACACACATCATTTATATATATGTGTGCGTTAATGCGAGTAGCACAGTCTTAGCCGAGATCGAGATCTTTGTCGCCTTCAAGGTCGACAATTTGGATGAAAATGAGTTTATTGTTTGGACAGAGCGGCATAAACGGCCGCGCCGCAGCATCCAATCCATGTGGGCGCTGCCAAGATGATTGTTATTTTATTTTTGTAATTCATGATTGAATTTATTTTATTAGCCATATTTTGTTCGACTTGTTTTTTTGTATTGCTCCTTGATTCGTGACAACTGCTAAAATATTTCAAAATAATGTGCATAATTGCGCCCTGAGGCTGATGACTCCTGCGCAACGTTGCCACACCGTAAAAGGACAAGCCCGATATCGTTCGATATGTATGGCGCATGCGATGCTGCTGCACAATGTCATCGATTACTCATCGCGGTTTCCATTTGTTTACAAACAAATCGAAACGCTGCGCGACACACACAAATATTAATGGAAATGTGTCGCCAACGTTGCCGCCCACGTGTTCTGTGCGAAACACAAACACGCACGCACGCACACACACACACACACACACACACACACACACAGACGCATGTATTTAGAACGTAAACCACATAGCTGGAAGTTACAAAGTGGCTCAAAATGTGTCGTTCTTTGCCCTAAAACGGCAAGCGTCAGTTAAGCTTTAAACCGGTTGACATTGCCGTTACCGGTTACACTTCCACCCACAATGTGATCTGTGCGCAAAAGAGACAACTGCCAATGGCGGCAACAGTCACATAACTGTTTGTCTATTTTTAGCCGCTTGCGGCTATTCGATTTGTTTATAATACATATGTACATATATAAATATATTATTATTTCTTTTTTTTTTTTTTTTGGTTTTTGGAAATGCATGTTCATTAATTTAATGTCATGTAAACATTTTTAACGAACTACCTAATTGCTTTTGATTATAAAAAATGTTTAACATAAGCAAAAATTCCAAAAAAATAAACAGTTTTAGTAAAATATATACAAACAATCATGAACGAAAAAAGAGTCCTGTCTTTGGCAGAAACTTATCTAACATTGAGGTGCAGTGCGCCTATAGAATACCCTTCCTTATCTACATATACTGTGAAAGTTGTTACATAAGTTACCAATGTATATGCATGACGGATAGGATTATAAAGATATATAAATTAAGAATATTTGCATTTTACCTTAGTGATAAATATATATATGGCTGCTATTGGCGCTTGCAAACCTGCCCCAAGAGTACGTATTAGTAGAAGATCGTCACAAAATGCATGACTAAACCGTCACAGACTTCAAGGTAGGGCACTCACGAGAGTAACACTTGAAACTGTTTTACCTCACACCACACTTGCAGGCCCACTCACGCTCGCACATCGCAAGTCATTCACTTGCTTTTTGCCGGCCTGAGAGAGCGAGCGCTGTGGATGGAGAGAGCAAGTCGTGTCAGTGTGTGGGTGCAAGTGCGGCCACTCGCTGCCATCTTGGCTTCACAACGCGCGCTCTCTCTCTTCCTTTTCACTCACTGCTGTTCTCTTGTGGTTGCGGCCGCGGTGTAGCGCCGCGCTATAAAAGCGTCCACACGCCGAAAATGCAAAACAGTCAAACAGAAATCTTTGAAACGCGTTGAATTGTGCGACACGAGTCAATCAAATACACACACACATATATATACAAAATAATACATAAAAAGAATACATTGTGATTTTTTTTGGTTCTGATTAGAAAGTGAATATATATATAAACGCACACACAAGCACAAGCTGACCAAGTCCAATTGGAACAAACACAAGAAAACAGCGGTGCGCGTGAAAACAACCCGAAGCAAAAAGCAGAAGCAGCGGCAGCAGCAAGCGCAAGAAGTTTTTTTAGATTTATCTAACACACACACACACACACAAACACAAACAAAAAAACAAAAATGGCCGAGTCTAATAAGAGAAATATTCCCATCAAATTGGGCGACTTCAGCGTTATCGATACGGAATTCAGCAGCATACGTGAACGCTTCGATTCCGAGATGCGTAAAATGGAGGAGGAGATGGCCAAGTTCCGTCACGAGCTGATGAACCGCGAGGCCAATTTCTTCGAGTCCACCAGGTAGGTGTCCAATTAGCAAATGTGCTGTCCAATCGGAATTATTTTATATGTAGCTCTTTGAGCGTGTTCTTAAATGTGTGCGTGTGTGTGTGTGTGAGAATGTGCTTGGATCTTGTTAACATTGTTTCTAGGCAGGTTACTCAGCAATGGTTATCTAGATAATGTTCAGGTCTGAGTATTTCTCAGATCTTCTTGATCTTCTTTTCGTATTAAAAGATTTACGCACGAATTTGGCCTCAGCTTAAGATACAACGTTAATACATAACTGTAGATAAAAGAGTGTTGGCTAACGTTTAAACTTTAAACATTTGGCGGCACAGCCTTCAATGTTTTTTGTTCTTGGCCGTAATTTGCAAAGAATTTTCCAGAGCAAATGCTGAAGGCAAGAGAAATATAAATTTATATTTATACTCAATTATCGACAGCTTTAAAAATAGATCAAAAACCTATTTCAAACAGATATCTATTAATATTTTTACTGTCAAGTGAAAAATTTCCGAAGAAACAACAAGAGGGCAGATTATATCGAATTATACCAGATAATGAAAACGATACTCAACTCTAGTTTTCATGGGAACGTTACGTGCTGTTTAGGATATCCCGAAATTTCCATCTAATAATAGGCATGCCATGGCTAGCAACATCATCTTCGTCATCATCATCATCATCATCATCATCATCATCTTCATCATCATCATTATTATCATTGGCACCGACAGAATGGCTGGATTACGTACGGGTTCTAAGGCCAAAACACATCGCTGAATGCCCCAGATACTCGCACACATTTTCTTGCCTGAGCAAATTGTTTTTTGGGGGGAATGAGTCACATTGGTTTTTCACGCCGAAACCACCCTTCCCCCACCCCCCTCCCTCCCCCCTGGCTCTCTTCCAACACGGCTACTAAATATATATGTCTACATAGTATGCATACGTTTTCCATTTGTCTTGCCATTTTCTTGGGGCACCCTCCCCGCGCCACTTGCGCATATTTCAAAATTGCTAAATATTTTCGAGTCCGTTTTTTTTTTTGTTCACTTGATCAATTTTCGGCTGTTTTGTCAGCAGAAAGATATGTGTACATATTTATAAATATGTGTGTATTTGTTGTTGTCTCAGAATGCAAATCTGCCTTGTAACGGTAACCCATGGTTGCATTTAGAGAAAGAAAGATGGGCAACATATAACAGATTTTAGCACACGTTATGAAATGTGGCGTAACGGAATTTTTTTTTCTTCGTGCAGCCTCAAAAATCTGGCATACTTGCCAGATACACGCATACACACACACACACGCGCATGTAGACGTGAATATATAATTCAAATATTTACTAAATAAATAGACAATGTGAAGGCGGCCGTTAAAATTTGAAAGAAAACAAAAATATGTATGTACTAAGCACAGCACACACATAGTGTGTACACACTTAGACGCACACATATACACACACTTATACACGCATGTCTGCCACTGTGAAGAGCAAAATGACGTAGCCACTGTCGCCGTCGCGGTTGCGCCTCGCTGGCCTTTCCAATCTGTTTGCGGCGGCGGCGACGGCGGTCGCGTCGCGTGGGCGCCACTTGAGGGCGAATTCGAAAATCATTCGCCGCGAGTGGTTTTCAGTGCCTTTTAACACAGCTTCGGCCATGGGCAATGACATAATCGAAGCGATTTGTTGTTGCTCTCTGTTTTGTTGTCTTCCTTCAGTGCATTTGCATGCGCAGCAGCAGCAACAGAAACTCAACGAAACTTTCTAAGCAAAAAGTTTAGGATAGTTCAATTTACCGTTATATTGCGTGCAAAACAAAAGTTTTGTCAAACTGCAATTAAACAAAAATTTTCGTTTGTTTATTATGTTTCGATGGGCACCAAAAAAGCCATGGCAATGCAACCGAATGGTTGGTTGCAAAGCTCTTGACACTGTCCAAATGTCGCTCCATGTGTGGGCCATTAGAGATGGGGGGGCGGTTGGGGTGCTCGAAGCGATGACTCAATTCGTCAATTTGCTATCGAATATTGGTCGTGCCTGGGCCCTCTCGTAGGGCCCTGTTAGCTGAAATTAAATGAAATAGAAAATATATAATGAATTGTTTGGCGGCTGTTTAAAAATAACCGATCACGTCATCGTCATCTGGCTCGACAAACCTAAACAAAAGGCAACTAATTGATTTTTTTTTTTCTTCCAGTATTGCCATAGTCAATGCGCATGCACTACATAAAGACACATTTACACACATACATATGTAAATGCATATGTGTATATGTATGTCTGTGTGTTTACACGATCCTGGGATAGCATGTAAATTCGATTTATTTACTCGCACAGTTTTGATTAGGCTTAAATGGTACTTGGCTAAATTGAAACTGTCGTTGCCTTATTGTTTGATTTTCTATACGATTCCAGGGCGATTTATCGCCCAACAAACAACCAATTTGTGTAGCAATTCTATTGCGGCCGATCTGCCAATTACATATATAGTGTATATCGACTATGCAGTCGGGCTGTACAAAAAAAATAACGTGGTTGACGGGCGGACGATTAGACACGTTTGTTTATGCAAATAATAAATAGAAAACATGTCTCGACCGCAACATTTCTAAATATGTATCTATTTACTTGCACTCGCTATTACGACTTTAGCGTAAAGCCGTTTACGGCGCGATTAAGTATACACACACGCACACCCAGTTTGTGGCTAATCATTGTGCTATATCATAATTTTGAACGAAACAGATCTCTCTCGATTTATTAGATAATATACGAATTGCTACTGTAAACAATATAATTGAATTTAATTCACATGTGCGTGGGTGTAAATGTTCATGTCCCACTGTGCACAGTATATATGTACATGTGCATATATGTATGAACTGGGCATATAAGTCTGTTAATTTATGTGCTGCCAATTTATTTAGCCGTGTGATGCAACTGATGCTGACGATAATAAGCAATAGCCAGATGATATCATGCAAATTTTTAGCACAAACGTTTCGTAAGCGGCTGCTTGACTTGTGCGAGAATCGATGACACTTGTAATCGTTGTTGTTGTTGTTGTTGCCGGTGGCGATGATCAACAGCAATTGGCTATCGATTAGCATTCGTCAAGTTTTTATTGTTCATTTTTGTCGACTGCACTCGGCTTAACGACTTAACGACAGCGTCGTCTCGTCTGACACTTGATACACATACATACATACATACATTCGTACGTACAGGCTCTTCTTCATACATTTTTGTTCGATTTCTGTGCGCAGAGCTTCTTTTTTTTTTTTATTCAATAACAATAACGAATAACGAAAAATATGCATGACATCATCAGCGCCAGCGCGAAGCAAGCGAGCTGCAAATTTGAGCGTGTGCCGATGTCGAGTCGCTGCTGTCTCTGTGTGTGTAAGAGAGCGCCCATACGTATGTGTGCCTGTGTGTGTGTGTGAGTGTGTGTGTTTTTTTTTTTGGCTAGCCAGCGGCAAGTTGGCTTCAGCGACTGCGGTTCCGGCAGGTGTGCTACAGCTGCCCGTCGCCCGCCCGTCCTTGCATTAGCGTGTAACCAATAGCCAAAGGTTCGAATTAACGGTTTCTACGATTAGTCACACACGGTGGCAGGGTGAGCTTTTATTTTGATTGCTTGTTATTGTTGTTGGTTGCATTTAACGGTTGCACGTTGCCAGCCAGCAAGGTCGGCTTCGGGCACGTTTACAGTTGCCAGCCAGCCAATGGCACGCTTATCAGCAGCGACGTGACTGTGTGTGTGCGTGTGTGAGTGCGTGTCTATGCGTTTGTATTAGTTTTGTATGGCGTGCGTGGTCAGCGCTCTCCGCTGGCAATTACGGTTCATTGGTCTGGGTTGCTCAAATTTAATTTGTGTGCGTGTGTGTGTGAATGTGTGTGTATGATACCTTTTTGCAACCATAAAAAGTACTAAATGTATAGTTCAATTATTAACGACAAGCTCTTATATTATATACATATATCTCTATCTCTTTCTCTCTCTCTCTCTCTATTTCTTTCTTCCTGTACAACCTTTACATGCTGCTTTGGAAAATAAAATCAACCGCAATTAAAATACATACAGTATGTCAATAAAGTGTTTTGACTAACGAAAAAAAACTAATTTTTTGGGTTTAGTTGAAAATAAATGTACCTAAAAGTGAGAATTTTTTTTCAATTCTAATTTATTTCGATTCTATATTTTTCCTAGAACTTAATGGCAAAAAGAATTGTTAAATAACATTACCCAAACATTTTATAAAATTAAAAAACTAAAAACATTCAAATTTTATGCTGTCAATAAAGTGTTTTTACACGAAACTTTATTACTAAATAACAATGTTAAAAAAACAGGAATATTTTTTTTTAATACTTTGTGTGGCTGCCATTAGCGTCACATACAGCCTGCAATCGCCGTTTCATTGAAACAATAAGGTTTTGTATGTATGTTTCTGGAATCTTCTGCCATTCTTCCAGTACAGCAGCTTTTAAATCAGTTTTTGATTTTGGACTCCGCTTTGCGACTTTTTTTTTCAAATATGACCACACATTTTCTATTGGATTCATATCTGGACTTTGTGGTGGAGTGTCTAACACCTTTCCACAGTTGTACAACAGCCAAACTCTTACCATATGAGCTTTATGCTTCGGGTCATTGTCCTGGTAAAATTTAAAAATTGGCTTATTGTCCTCATAGAATCCAAATTTCTGTGCACTACTGACGAGATGTGTCTGTAAAATGCTCAGATATTGTCTAGCATCCATGGTATTCTCAATGAAGGTCAAATCTCCTACACCCTTGCTCGAAATACACCCCCACACCATCACTGATAGTTTTCCGAATTTAACGGTTGGAATAATATTGCGGTTTTCCAACGCTGTTAGTGGCTTTCTCCAGACTCTGGATGGCCCATCGTTGTAGAATAGCATCATCTTGCTTTCGTCACAGAATATGACGTTACTCCAAAAATCGTTCGAACTATTTACATGGACTTGAGCGAACGATAGCCGCTTCAAAATATTCGCCGCCGATAGTAGAGGTTTTTTCCTGGCAACTCGTGATGTGTAGTCATTGGAATTCAGTAATTTTCGGACAGTTTCATGTGACACATCAACACCACTTTCTTCCTTGAACTCCTGAGCAATATCCCTAAGCGAAATTTGTGGATTTTTCTCAATTTTTCTCAGAATTTTTCGCTTATCTCTGTCAGAAATTTTGCAGGGTCGACCACATACTGGCTTTGCCTCTAGCCTATCTTCCTTATTGGCTCTGTTTAATATGTTGTATATCGTTGCTTTTGATAAATTAAACATATCAGCCAGTTCCGAGACTTGACGTCCCATCTGATGGTTATAATACACCAGCTGAGCGACTTCAAAAGTTGTTCTTTTTCCTGGCATTTTATTTTTCATAAAATTAAAGCAAAACGTTATAAATTGCAATAGAAAATGACAAGAAAAGTCGAAGACACAAGAGAAGCCAAAACGCATGGGCCCAAATCTAACGGGATCACCCAAAAGAGAACGGCAAAACAATTTACCGTAGCTGTAAAAACACTTTATTGACAGCATAAAATGTGAATGTTTTTAGTTTTTTAATTTTATAAAATGTTTGGGTAATGTTATTTAACAATTCTTTTTGCCATTAAGTTCTAGGAGAAATATAGAATCGAAATAAATTATAATTGAAAAAAAATTCTCACTTTTAGGTACATTTATTTTCAACTAAACCCAAAAAATTAGTTTTTTTTTGTTAGTAAAAACACTTTATTGACATACTGTACATACATATATATATATCTCTTTATTACAATAACAACTTTCCTCTTGAAAAGCTCTACTAAAAAAACAACAACTACAACCAGGTATTATGCTCTATGAAAATGACAATGATTTTTTTATGGAAATTCGTTTTGTGTACAATCTTCAGTTATTTATTTATATTTTGTTTACATATATGTGCATATGTATGTGTTATTTTGTAGACTTTAAAAATCAATATATTGCAACATTGTTAATAATATATGTATACATGAGTGCACATGTGTTGGTAAACACTTACTTATTTTTTATGTACTTTGTGCACACTGTGTTGACTGACAGATTCGTGTGTTGTCACTTAAAAAACAGTTTAACAAATTCATTTTTGAAAACTATGCACACGCACACACGCACATTATATAAATACACACATTGTATGTGAAATATTTGGCAGGTGTTTCAGAATTTATTTATTGCTTCGTTCTTCAAAAGTTCAATCAACTTTGAATAGTTTCTGTTGCGTAATGCCAAACATTCAACTTTTCCAGCACTATAAAAAAATCAATTATTTCTAATATCCCCCTCTCTCATTCTCTCTCTCTCTCTCGTTCTCTCCCGACCTCAAAAATCTTGGCACCTTTGCCAAATAAGTGTGTTCTTCAAGTAGAAAATTTGCTGAAATGGTATCTGGATCGATTTATATAATGTAGACTTATGAACAGGATTCTCTTTAAAGGATAACAAAGAGAGAGAAGGATTATGTATGTGCTATCAGACATACATATAAAAGATCAAACCTATTTATATATACATACATGTGTATATAAATGCTTACTTAGGTTGACATGTGAGCCATCCCCTTCTTGGCGCAGCTGCCTTAACAAATTATAAATAAACTCTGCTCCCGAGCGGAAATCCGAGCTATTTATAAATATTTTAGGTTAGTTTTTGTGCAGCTGTAACTGTAAAAATGCGCGGCTCAGCTGAATTTTCAGTTGCATTTGAAGCGCGTTTGGCAGCGGTTTTAAAAAATTCCAATTTCCAAAAGGGAAAACAAGCAAAGAAAAATGGATGCATTTACACGCACTTTTCATAAAACTTTTCGCACAACAACTACAACAAAAACCAGCCCAAGGTCTCAAATTTATGATTTGTATCTAACCTCTTTAATTTGATATGTTACCTTTTTTTTCGTGTAATTATTCTCAACTAATTCTGGTTTTCCCAAAAATTATGCTTGCAGCTCAACGACAAACTCGGCGCTGCCCTCACGCGTGCCCAAGCAACAGAATTATGTGTCGGACATTAGCTCGCCTTTGATTCAGGTACGTTCTATAATATCTATACAAATGTCGCCATATCATCTAATAAATTTGCTTTCCTGCAGGATGAGGGCGACAACAAAGTGCTGAAGCTGCGCTTCGATGTCAGCCAATATGCGCCCGAGGAGATTGTCGTCAAAACTGTCGATCAGAAGCTGCTTGTAAGCCTAACTATAAATAAAATATATTTTTATATATGTATATATACATTTGAGGGGCAGTTCTGACAGTTGTGTGCACTTAAAAGCTAACACTGAACCCATTGAAAATGGCTAAGAAGAAGTCCGACAGGCAAAGGGAGACTTTATTGGTTCCTATCAAAAGCCGATTCGAACTAGTCATATCTTAGTTTGTCTGAGAAAGACTTTATCTGCTAAATATCGATATCGATAACATGCCTCCGCTTCCATAAAATCGTTATCGAAATCCTTTTTTCAAAGCTTAAAAGAGCTAGAGACAGCAAACTTGGCATATAGACTATATATATATTAAAAATCGGACTGTAAGCACCGAAGTTCATCAGAGTCTTCTCTCAGTCTGTTACATACATTTGCACCAAACCAAAATACCCTTTTTACCAATTTTTAAGAGGTATTTTGCGTGTCTAGAGAAATGTACTCGCTGGAACTGCCCATTATTGTATATATATATATGTATTATAAAATCCCATAACATATTTCAACTGAATAATAATTTGGTTTTTCTGCTTGTTTCCAGGTGCATGCCAAGCACGAGGAGAAATCAGACACAAAGAGCGTTTACAGGGAATACAATCGCGAATTTCTGCTGCCCAAGGGCGTTAATCCCGAGTCGATACGCTCGTCCCTCAGCAAGGATGGTGTCCTGACCGTGGACGCGCCCTTGCCAGCGCTCACTGCCGGCGAAACCTTGATACCCATTGCGCACAAGTGAACAGCCAGAGACGTTCCCGCCACCCCCATCCCTGAGAGCAGCACGGGCAGCATCTTCTCCAGCAATAAAGCCCGCAATAAACACACAATATATCAACCTATCCGCAACAGATGCCCAGCGTATTTCTAGCACCATACTAAAAAAAAAAAAGAAGAAAATCACCGCAGTTTCCCAAAGTTGACTTTGGGCTCAACAAAATAGAATTCAGAATTGGCCTAAATAATTACACTATGTTTTTTTTTTTTTTCGTTTTTGCTAAAATATATAAATACTGACTTACTACTCATACTTAACTGTAATAACTTAAGTGTAATGCAAATTATTATTAAATTTGATTAATTTAATTCATATTTATAAATCACGCAATTAAATGTTATTATTTTCTTGTCGTACTATTGCCTGTTTTATATCTCGTTGGTTTCAAGGGAAGGCCTATAATTATTATATAGTTTCAATGCACTTTCAAAGAATACGAAATCGGCTTGAAGCTATCCTGGCTGGCAAGCCCAACAGAACTTTTCGCTGGTTCAAATCACGCTTCGAACCAACGTCTCGCCGAACGTCGAACCAAACCCAAGTTTTCGGCTTATCTAGCTTTTTTTTCTCTAGTTATACCTAAAAAGCCAAGTCGGAACGAAGTATGGGCAGGAACTATATAAATACCTAATGGGCTGTTGCTGAGATGTTTTTATCAGCTTGTTACAAACAATTTCTCAAACATTTTATATACAAGAAAATGTTGTTGCCATATTTATCTGGAGGCCAAGCCATGAAGAAAGAGTCAAATATCGTGAAAATCGGATGAGATTTGACCTATTTATGTGTTGGGAAAATTCGACCTATGTGTATATAGGATCATAGAGGGCATAGCCCGGCCTTGGCCGTGGCACGTTTAAGATAAATTCTTGTACAAATCTTTGAAAATAAGTTTTAACACGATCGGAAGGTAAGCAAACAAAGTTTCACACGTACGATTTTCGCGATTTTTCCACACAAGCGGGTGGAATTGCCTGAAATCTACAGTGGAAATTACAGCTTAATACCTAAGTCGGGACAAATAAAGCTTAAATTTTGTTTAACGAGGCAAAAGTAAACCAAAAACCGAATCAATTGCAGAGAAGTCTTGCAGCTTTTAAGATTGTTTCCTAAGGCTACGCTGGCTAAAGAACAGCTCTAGAGCTGTACGAATCTCTGATCAGGTGAAACTCTTGAGTAATTTGTGTTTTATATTTGTGCCTAGTTGAAGCACAGCTCGTTTACGGCCCGTTGCTATTCTTGCACCTGGAAGGTAACATTAGTTACTATCAGATTAAATTGATATACTCTTTATACTTAGCTGTCCAGATGCCTTTGGGTCTAGTGTCAAACTGTGCACTGGCTGGGTCGTCAATATCTAAAATATAAATCGTAACATACTGAGACACAGTTTATTTATTTTTTTCTCTTTTTTTAGGTAACTCGGAACGTTGGAAAATAATTTTGGGCGCTGTTACCGTAGTCAAGATCCATATACTGGCATAGTTATGAGCAAACGTTATTTTGGAACGGTGCGACGTGAAGGAGCATGTTGAAGAGCTAGCTGGCCCGCTCTGAGCAGTGTTTGGGCCGCATATCAATATATATATATAGCTGTACGCCTCCGATACGTACGCCTGGGTATGTACGTCACAATGTTGTACACTTTTGCACATTTTACATTAAACATTAAAAAAAAAATATATATATTTATATATATAATAATAATAATAAATCATATTTATAATAACCTTTTTTTCATTTCCTCGTATGACCCCTGTGAATGTAGGTAACTAGCAAAAATGCAAGAGGAGCCAGAGCTAAAGCACGAGCCGCTCGATGTGGACAGCGATCCGTTGCGTCTGCCGACATCGCTGCTAATTGAGGATCCCCGATATCGCATTCGGCCCATGCAGCAGGTGATATCGGCTTTAGTTGGCGGACTGATTACAACATTTGTGGGTGAGTAGCAAGCGGACAAATGCGCTGTTATACGTATTCTAGCGGATGCAGTGGCATTTCCCCAGTGACGCCGCTTGAGGTGGTTAAGACGCGGGTGCAGACCCAGACGCAAAGCCAGTCGCGCAAGCGTCCGGTTGTCTCCAAGCTCTGCTATGTCTTTCACAATGGCCTCATGACGCACGTGTGCAAGCCGAATGCCACCGACTGCATGGCCAAGAGTGCGGCGATGGATGCAGCCAATATGCGTCCACTGCGCGGCGCCATGGTAGGTGATAGTATAGTCCAACGATCGTGACTGATTTTCCTGATCTTTGGCAGGATGCTTTTCTCAAAATCATTTGCGGCAACGGCGTATTTGGTCTTTGGTCGGGCCTGAGTCCCACGCTTGTCTCAGCGCTGCCATCGACCATTATCTACTTTTTAACATACGAGTATCTGAAGCATTCGTTTGCGAATCTATATTACATATGGCATCCGCGTCCATCCAACATTGCCGACAATCGCGACAAGGAGAAGCTGGTCAAGACAGCAGCTGAGGGACGTCTAACTCTGCCGTCTGTGGTGCCTATGGCATCGGGCGTCTGTGCGCGCACGGTTGTTGTTACGGCCATAACGCCGCTAGAGATGATTCGCATTAAGATGCAGTCGGGCTACATAACGTATACGGAACTGTGGATTGTGCTGCGCTCGCTGATCAAGTCGCAGGGAGTGCTGGGATTGTGGCGTGGCTGGCCGCCCACTGTCATGCGAGATGCTCCCTTCTCGGGCACCTATTGGGCTGCCTACGAGTCCATGAAGCGTGCCTGCAATGTGACGGAGCCAACGTTTTGGTTCAGCTTTGTGACGGGCGCAGCCTCCGGCGCGGTGGGTTTATATTGCATTCAATCCCTGCCTGTCATTTATCTGCAATACAATTTGATTTTATTTGATTTCCAGTTGGCCACCTTGGTGACAATGCCCTTCGATTTAATTACCACACATACGCAAATTGAACTGGGACAGGATGTGCTATACTCCGATTCATCTGGATCGGGCAAAGGCGGCACTGGTGGTTCCGCAACCACGGCTGCCACCGCATCGGCTCCGGCCAAACAGTCGGTGTTTACACGCTTAAGCATGATATATCGCCAGCAGGGTATACGGGGGCTCTATGTTGGCGTTATACCAAGGATGCTACGAGTTGTGCCAGCCTGTGCCATTATGATATCGGCATTTGAGTACAGTAAATCGTTCTTCTTTCGCTATAATCTTGATTTAAAGGATACCGGTATGTAGCATAACGGAACTCTTTTCATTCTAACACCGCGATTAGCTTTTGTATCGATAGACTTTCTTAAGCCACAACACATACATATCGATAAGTTAACGCATACCGATACATACTGGCATTTATCGAAAAAATATTGGCAATAAGCTGTATACACTTCATATATTCTCAAAGCAACTACATATGACATGATTATGATACTATGGTAAGCTTTAACGTACTAGAGTTGTTGAAACAACACAACACCAGAATTGCGTGCACAATTAATAAGTGAAAATGCCAGATCTTATGTGCAAACAGCTAAATTGGCAACACTGATGGCACCAGCTGTTGCATCGATAGTACTGCTCAACTATCGATATGTTTAAAATAAACACATTGCACGCACACACACAAACAGGCGCACACACTCACACATTAACGTGGGCAAACAGTTTTTTTTTTTTTTGTATTTATCAGGGGCTTAAAAGTCCTACCTATTAAATGACAATAAACACGCGCAAAGAGTCCGCACATATAAACTAAATCTTCACACTAGGTTACGGACGTGCTAATTAAAGCGTCAAACAGAAAGTTCCAGAGTACAAGATGAAACCCAGCGCAACCATGCCGGAGGCCAAATATGAGACCCCGGCGAACCAGACAACACAGGCCAAGTATACAATGATAGATCCCAGATTTCGCATACGTCCTATGCAGCAGGTAGTGTCCGCCTGCACGGGTGCCATGATAACAGCCTGCTTTAGTAAGTGATATACATACATATGTATATATATAAATATCTAATTCTATCTATCTATTTCATCACAATCTGTGCGCATTGCAGTGACGCCTTTGGACGTAATCAAGCCCCGTTTGCAGGCACAACCATCGGCACTGCTGTCCAATAAATGTTTCCTATATTGCAACGGCCTCATGGATCACATATGTCCTTGCGGTCCGAACACGCCCCCGCCCACTTCTAGTCATGCATTTACCAAGCTCTCGCCTGCTTCTGCCTCCTCCTCCTCCTCCTCCTCCCACTTTACGGGCACCATTGTGAGTCGATATTGAATCTATAAATTGAGCTTCTAACTGATTTTTTTTTTTGTACCGCACAGGATGCATTCATTAAAATTAGCCGCACTGAAGGCATCGGGTCACTCTGGTCTGGCTTGAGTCCGACGCTCATCTCGGCCTTGCCCTCAACCATTATATACTTTGTGGCCTACGAACAGTTCAAGGCACGTTTCACCGATCTGCACTACAAGTACCTGGCGCCAGTACAGAGTTCACCATATAGTCGGGACATTCCAATGCTGGTGCCATTACTGGCGGGCGTTACGGCCCGCATACTGGCTGTGACCTTTGTTAGCCCCATTGAGATGATACGCACCAAAATGCAATCGCAAAGGATGACTAACGCCGAAATGATCGGCTCCATACGACAGGTGATGCAGTCGCAGGGTATTTTGGGTCTATGGCGCGGCCTGCCGCCCACCATACTCCGCGATGTGCCCTTCTCTGGTATTTATTGGACCTGTTACGAATATCTCAAGAGCAGCTTTAATGTCGTCGAGCCCACGTTTGGCTTTAGTTTTGTCGCCGGTGCCATTTCAGGCTCTGTAAGTCTTTACCTAAAAACCAATCACTGAATATATTTTTTTAGCGTCCATTTGCTTGTCCAGGTGGCTGCATCGATAACCACGCCATTTGATGTAATTAAGACGCATGAGCAAATCGAGTTCGGTGAGAAATTCATATTTACAGGTAGGCCACTTGCTTTACCGCCCGTCGCACCCAGATCCACTAATGCTACGATTATTTGCCCCACACTAGATAATCCGCCCAAGAGTACGCCGACCAGGTCAGTCATGGATCGTATGGCAAGCATTTATCGCTTGAATGGGCTGCGGGGCGTATTTTCAGGACTCGGACCGCGTTTGTTTAAAGTGGCGCCAGCCTGCGCGATCATGATATCAACATTCGAGCATAGCAAGGCTTTCTTCTATCATTACAATGTTGACCAGCATAATCAGGCGCTGTTGGCCATAAATAGTGCAACAAAAGCGAATACCACCTCAACATATGATAAGAGGGCAAAGGACTAGATGGACTGGAAGTGGCTCGACTTGCTTTCCGTGTGCCTGTAAATATGTAAATTAATACCAAAGTTAAAAAAACAAAACAAAAAACAAAAAAAAAAAAAAAAACAAACCAAAATCGCTGGGTTACAACAATTTACACAGTTTGAGATTCGAAGCCTTTGTAAAATTGATGAGTAAAATAAATTTGTTTTTTTTTAAATAAACCGAAATTTTTTTAAAAAATTCGAAATTGGCGCCACATCGATAACATGCGCGTATCGCCAGCAATCGATGGACACAAAAAAAAAAATTAAGGTACAAAATGGGCTGAGCTTAACAAGAAGCGAAACACTTTGCTGAACTTTTTAGCTTCATTCATTTGTTTAAAAAATGAATCAAAATTTGTGCCAATGTTGCCCAACCATATTTTTTTTTTGACAACTTTAAAATGAATAAACGCCAAATCTGGCGGGCAAATGGCTAAATGGGCAGCATTGCACAACAAGCTACTTCGATAACTGCGCATATGTTCTTTTCGATGTTATCGATAAGTATGCATATGTTCATGTCGCTGTTATCGATAGCACCAAAAACACGTGCTGTCATACAGTGTTTTGTTTTAGTTTGTGATTCTAAATAACGACAGACCATGGATAATCCAGACACCATTGACATTGATGTAGATGTGGCAGATAAGTCAACTGATTTGGCGCCGACTGAAGACAAGGCTGTTCAGGCAGACACTGCAGCAGCGATTACAGAGAAGAATGCATCTAAATCTAAGAAAAATAAAAAACCCACAACACAAGCCAAAGCCACGCCCAAAAAGGTGGTCAAGCCCGAGGCAAGTATACCGCGCGGTCAACCCAAATCCAATCGGCCCTGGAAGACGCCCAAGCAAAAGTAAGTCCGACCACATCCAACTCCTTAACATGTCCACAGCCTAATCCGCCGCTGTTCTACATCATCGACAGATTCAGCAACATCAAGAAGACGGTGAACCGTCTCTCATTTGAGAAGAAAGTGGCGCTGCGCAACGAGATGCGCTACATCAAGGAGAAATCCAAAGAGATCAAGGATCAGCGTAAAGAAGCCGCCGTCCAGCGTCATCAGCGACGCGTCGAGAACGCAGAGCGCCGGTTGGCCAATGAGCGTCGCTCCGAAATAGTCCAAGTCATCAAGAATCCGGCCAAGCTGAAGCGTATGAAGAAGAAGCAGATGCGCATGATCGAGAAACGGGATCTTAGCCAAGTTAAAGTGGTCTAACTTCAGAAATACCTTAGCTTACGTTTACTTATTTTTTTGCACCCTAAATAAATCTAGTTTTGTAATGTGATGGAAACGTGACGTCTCTATTGGAGGAGACATCTGGCATATGTTTTTCTGATCCATATGATCGAGTAGACCAGTTAATTAAGATTAGAAATGCCAGTCTAAATTGCCTTCACAATAAATTCTTACTTATAAGCAAGGCATGAACATCTATGACTTAATTGAATTCATGAGATTCGCATAGTAAGGCAGTTTTTAAAAGTAGGTTTAACAAGTGCTTCTTAATGTTTTTTAGAATATGTTACAGATCAATTTGTTTTCCTTTTTTGTTTAATGTACTACACTGTAGAAATTATGTAAATATGTACATACGAACAGTTTAAAGCTTATTTTCCTTTAGACTAGCTTAACAAATTAACATAGTATTCCAAGTTAAGATTAGAAAAGTCTGTCTGCCTGTTGCGCATATCAAGGCGAAATTTTGCCAAAATCTGTTTGCGTTGTCCGTTCAAAGCGTGGCCCCCGATACGTTTCTGTTGATGTTCTTCGATGGCATCCATGCAGATCTGAATGCGCGCCCGCAGCAGCAGGTCCAGCTGATGCACCAGCGATTGCACCTGCGGCTGTTTCACGCTCACCAAAGACGTGCCAACTAGCTGGCTCTCGAGTAAGGATCGAATAAACCCGTTGATAATGTGCGCTGCCGCAGCATAGTCTGTGCTGGTTAGTGTTAGGCTTAATCTCTCCCAGCCGTTGGCTGTCGCACTGGGTGGCTCGAGACGCGTTTGCATTTGCCGTATGACAGCTGGCGGCACGCCGGCTGCACCACGTGCCACATTGCCCTGGAGACATGCGTCCAGGCTGCTGGCCACATGAAGCTGTGCATACAGGCAGTTTTGGCTACGACACAACTGATAAAGCTTATTGCGCATGCTGCGATAATAATGATTATCATCGCAAACAATTAGATAGTTGTCGTTGCCAATGGCTGTTGTTGTTGTTGTTCCACCTCGCACCATGGCAGGCAGCTCAGTGGCCCCCGCTTGAAGTTCCGCAATGAGCTGTGTCAACAGTTTGTGTATTAGCTTGCGCTGCGTTTTATAGTCTGTGTGGTCTTTAGGTCCTATGTTAAAATGGTCGTCGTAGCACAGATGCATCACATTCCAGCCGGTAAGAGATGTGGGTTGTTCCAGCAGCCAGTTGCTAAGGCGTGTCTTGCCAGCGCCCGGCAGCCCGATTAGCGCAAGCAGACAAATGCGCGGCATTTACAGTGAGTGAGGGTGTGTGTGTGTGTGCTGTGTATTAGATCTCTGTCTGTGTGTGTGTGTGTTGGTTGCTGCTTAACTATCTAATATTGAAAAGAGGAGCTGCGGCATGGCATTCCAATCTGCTTGCGCTTGCTGCTGCTACATGGACAGCTTGGCTGGCGTCAGCACAGCTGTGGCAGCGACGGCAGCGACTTCTTTCTCTTTGAGCTGCTCCTTGATGCGTTCCTCCTGTTGGTGTTGCTCCAATTGTTTGGCGTTCTGTTCCACTTCCTCCATGCGTTTGGCATTAATTTTTGTTTGCACATCCACATAGGATTTCATCATGTTTTGATTGAAGCGCGCAAATTTGGTCACACATCTGTCCACGCAGACGCTCTATTTCGTTTTAATTATTAAGCACTTAAGTAAATATAAAGAAGCATATATTTGGTCACGCTCACCTCCTGGTCGAACAGTTCGCGCTGACTGAGATTATCAACGCAGCGATTGAAGCACAACTCGGTGACTTTGTTGTATAATGTGAGAAAATCTTTTAGCTGCAATGCGTAGATTTGTATGAATTAAAAGTGGCGCATTTGCTGACATTAGGCATACGTTACGCAAATTCGAATCCATTGGTCAATACAAATTTTAAAAGTCGATCTCAAAACGTTAACTAATATTAATTTATTAGTGCTTTTTTGTGGAAACCGACAGCAGGCAACAGCTGACTTGCTGTTTATTTGACAAGTGTTAATCGGCGTTTTAACTATCGATTATCACGAATACAGCTATGCAACTATCGATTGTGCGAATGCCACATGTGGTCCACATGTGAACAATCGCTTAGTGATGGAAGGAAGCTCAGCAACTTTCGCGACTTATCGCTTTGATTTCGATTAACTTGAAACAATTTAACGATAGCACAGATACAAAGCGCCATATTCAAAAAAAGCTTCATTTATCTATTAGGCTGTTAATTTCAGTCACGTATTTGTACACATATATAAACTATATATTTATGTAAACAAACATAATGTTTTTGATTTTTTTCAAAAGTTAAATAATTCAAAACTCTAAACTAAAATTACAAACAGTAATTGTTTAACCTTCATAGCCAACATCTTCATCTGTGTACATTTTTATTGGCTGTCCGGCTGTTTCATTCACAGTCTCCATCATCTCAACATCACGGCAATTGGCCGCCTGCAGCTCCCGTCTGATATCCGCGGTAATCTTTGGATGAGATTTCTTTCTGCAATTTCATAATTTTCAATTACTCTGACTGCTGTTTTCTATCAAGACTTCACTCACTTTAAAAGCTGAAGCAGCGCATCCTTTTGGTCCGACGAGATGTCATTCTTATAGCGCTGTGCAAAGGTGAGTAGACTTTGATGCCATAGCACGGGCAACTCACGCTTATCGTTCTCAAATCTGCAAATATCGAGGAAGGTTATTAATGCAGATGAGATAGAGTTTGGGTTCGGCTAACCTTAGAAAATGAAAGACGGCCGCGTCGATGACACGATACGGCAGAGCATAGCGTTTGTCCAGGAAATAGCGTATGAATATCGAATTGGCACCGGAATAGCTCATTTCACAGATCTTCAGCAGGCATGCGGACGAGTGCAGCACGGGTATGGAGCTACGGGCCACAACGCTGCCAAATATGATGGCCTCACGCAATGTACAATCTCCGGACTCCAGCAGTGGCAGTATGATGCCCTTCATAAAGGCGGCCGGCTTGAAGAGAGCGCGTTTTAGTGCATTATACAAGTGCATATTGAGCTTTTTATATTCGCACAGATCATCGCGAACGCGCGGCAAGAGCACCAGGTTATAGAAACGCTGGGCCATCGCTTGAGACAGCACCGAGCAGAAGATGCGTGTGCCTTGGAACATGGCAGCAGCGCTCCAGTTGTGCGGCTCCGTTATGAACAATATCTGCTCCCAGTTCCTAAGCTTGGGTATGATCTTGAAGGCTTTTGGAATCTTGCCGCTGCGATAGCGCTTGAGCACTTCCCGGACACCCTCATACATTTCCTTAACCTTGGGATCGATTTCCTCGATTTTCAGCGAGCCCTCATCGGAGATTTTTGTGTGTATATCCGCGCCCTTCTCTTGGATCTTTTGCATTATTATCTCAGACAGATGTAATGTGCGTTTGCCCTCCTTGGTGGGCGGCTGTTGGAAGCGTTCGAAGGCAGCGACATCATCATCATCCATGTCCAGGTCGGCCATGAAATCGTTTTCGTTGACATCTTCCTTTTCCTGCTCCACGTCATCGTCTATATTGTGCATAGAGTTATTAACAAATGGGGGAATATCAACTTTTAATTCTATATACGCGATATAACATACTCAAATTGAATTTAACATTCCTGCGGGGCGCTAAGCTTGGGAAGTTTTCCTCGTCCAGCTCCAGTTGCTGTTGTCTGGCTGCTGCCAAGATCTTTTGACTGCTTTTCGCGTCTATATTCTATAATTAATGATAGCGAATGGATTATTATTTTATTTCTTAGGTTGATTAATTTACCGGTGACTCCTCTGCACGTAGTTTAACCTTCTCCTTGTTCTTTGCTTTGGACACTTTGCCCTCTGTGATTTGCTTTTCCAAGTTCACTGTTTTAATAGTCGCCACATTTGCCTTCTTCGGTTTGCCCATTTTTGTGTATTTTTAAATAAGGTTTTCAATAACAAAACTGAGCACAGCACGTGTTGTAATCGTTGTTTATCGTGGGGAGGCAGGCACCCTGTTCTATAATGCCAGCGCATGGTCACTCATATTTTTGACAGCTGTTATTCCATGTATGCACTGGAACATATCGATGAGGAAAATACGTTAGTGATGAGTGATATGATGTGTTTTTGTAATTGTTTATGCGGCAGAAAACATATTTTACACGGATTTAAATAAATATTAAGTGAAAAACTGGAGCACACCTAGCCGTATAGATGGACAGAAACCGGCTTTTAACTTTTGGTTTATGTTAAATTGGTATCGATTACTTGTTTTTATCATATCGATTGCGTTCGATATATCAATGGCTGCTGCATCCCTATTTCCTTTCCCTTACCTAGCTGGGTTTTGACAAGACCGATTCTTTTTTTTTCTGTGTTGATTGCAGCAAGACCGACATAATGAAGGTGTGCAAAAATTTTGTGAAAAATATTATAACAAACGTTGTAAACATCTAAAAATATTGATAAAAACAACTGGCATTAACAATAAACTAGTGCAAAAATCAAGCGTTGCATGAAAAACTCAACTGATTGGCCTTAAAATAAAAGATAACAATTCTGATAATTTGTATATATATATATGTATGTGTGAACTAAACAAAAACTTCGTGTTTACTTGCAGCTCAACGTTTCTTATCCCGCTACGGGATGCCAAAAGCTGTTCGAAGTTGTCGATGAGCACAAACTGCGTGTGTTCTACGAGAAGCGTATGGGCCAAGTTGTGGAAGCCGATATTCTGGGTGATGAATGGAAGGGCTATCAGCTGCGCATCGCTGGCGGTAACGACAAGCAGGGCTTCCCCATGAAGCAGGGTGTGCTCACTCACGGTAAGTTAATTAAGTTAATCAATTTGAATAGAATTTTACTTTCTCTGTTATACGGATTTGTTGTCGTTGTTGTGCAGGTCGTGTGCGTCTCCTGTTGAAGAAGGGACACTCCTGCTACCGTCCACGCCGCACCGGTGAGCGCAAGCGCAAGTCTGTGCGTGGCTGCATTGTCGATGCCAATATGTCCGTGCTGGCTTTGGTTGTCATCAAGAAGGGCGAGCAAGATATTGCCGGTCTGACAGACACAACAATTCCACGTCGTTTGGGCCCCAAGCGTGCCAGCAAGATCCGTAAGCTGTACAACTTGACCAAGGAGGATGATGTCCGTCGCTTCGTTGTGCGCCGCCCATTGCCCGCCAAGGAGAACAAGAAGGCCACCTCCAAGGCACCAAAAATTCAGCGTCTCATCACGCCCGTGGTGCTGCAGCGCAAACACAGACGCATTGCTCTGAAGAAGAAGCGCCAGCAAGCATCCAAGGAGGCTGCTGCCGATTATGCTAAGCTTCTGGTTCAGCGCAAGAAGGAGTCCAAGGCTAAGCGCGAGGAGGCCAAGCGTCGCCGTTCCGCCTCGATCCGTGAATCGAAGAGCTCTGTTTCAAGTGACAAGAAGTAAATGTGAAATGGCCGCCAACAACTGCTAAACATCTACCCAAATCGTATAAGAAACAAATTTGTAGCCATTTGTTAATAAATCGTGAATGGTCAAAAGATATACCTAAGTCAAACACATCTTTTTTTTCTTGTGAATTCTTGTGTTAACCTTAAAGAGATGCCTCTTTATGAGAATGTGCTTAAGTGAAAGTTATGCCATGCGCAGGAAGCTACAATCGAAAGAAACTGCAGGTATGGAGTGGAATTTCTATGCGGAATCAATCCTGAAACCAATCCCCAGTAAAATGCGCATTATGAGAAATAGAAGACATATGCAACGTGAGGATCCCGGTATAAGGGTTTGATGTCTTCGCCATGTCGATCTGTCTGCCCCTGTGCTAGCAAGGCATTCACTTCATCTTGACAAATCAAAGTTCTTGCTTCATATATAAAATTTCCAAGTCGGCCGGCTCAAATCCCTATAGCTAATTCTATAGAAACTATTAAATAACCTATTTCTTTTCAAATGTCAGAGAAGATTAACATATATTATAGATTATATTATGTGATTATCATGACTACCAGGACTTAGGTCTCGTAGGAGTTCAGGAGATGGTCCCCCTGTAGGCTAAGGCTTCTTTTTGTTGTTGAAATCCTTGGCTGCACAGTGCATTCACATGGAACATATTCCAACTTCTGCAACCTGTCTTCACAGAATCTGCTCGAATCGACAACAGATAGATTACAATTTATGGAGCTGCCCGAGGAGATACCCTATTAAGTTGCGTATGCTATTCTTTTCGAGATTGAGAAGGTGCCTGGAGCGTCTGTTATCGGGGCTGAGGAACCTAATGGCTTGGCTTTGCAGTGTCGATCCTGCGCCTGTTCCTATTTTCGCCAGCTCCGATCTGTGTCCTTTCGAGAGGCAGCAAACAAGATCCTCAACATCACCCCTTTCAGCTTCATCTGAGTTACAATTAAATCAATAGAACATGATTACAATTAAATGATGTTTATATTTATATAATAATGCATCGTTATTTATTTGACATGCGCTTGCGATTTCCGCACAACATTGAAACATTTTATAAAACAGAACGAACATATTCCACGAATCTCTCTTCTATTTCGTGTGGAATTCGCACTCGCACACGCACACACACACACGTACAGAACACACGCAGGTGTGCATGTGTGTGTAACTACACAAATTTATTACAATTTTAGAAACATTTCAAATACATCTGTGAATCTATATATATGCAGTAGGTATATCTATATAAATTGTTGAATAAACAATCAGAATGTATAAGGAGCAGGGGGCAGTTGGCGTTGAGTCGAGCTTTTCGCACAGCCTCTCGAGCAGTTGGCTGGCTGCGCCTTAATACAATCCATATCCGCCATGTTCATATTTTGACGGAACAGGAATAGTATCTGTCGTCTTCGGCGGGGGCGAGCGCGGGCGCAGGCGCCGGCTCGGGCTCGGGCGGTGGCGGTGCCTCGCCCGTTGTTGCCGGCGGCTCATAGCGCGCCAGTTTGGCCTCCTGATCTGCCAGCAGCTCAAGCAAATCCTCCTGATCCTTTTGGGTGGCCAGCAGCTTCTCGTTGGCCGCATCGGCGCGCTGTTTCTCTGCTGCCAATTGCTGACGCAGCGTCTCCAGCTCCTTGGTGAGCCGTATGTTCACCGTAAAGTACATGTTCGCCTCATAGCGTGCCGCATTCAGCTTCACATCATTGTCCAGCTGGGCGAGCTCTGAAGGTGGTGACTGTGCCGCCAGCTGTGCCTTGAGCAGTGTATTCTGATCCGCCAGCTGTGATTTCAGCGACTGCTCCTGGCTGAGCTGCTCCTTCAATTCGCTATTCTGCTGCTCCAGATCCTTGCTAGACTGCTGCAGCGTCTGTATCTGCGCATCCATGCCGCGTATAATGCCCTTATATTGAGCGACCAGGGCCGCCGCCTCCGAACTGAGCGTCAGCTCGGTCAGCTCAATGCCATCCACATCGAAACCGCTCACTTGCTTCGCTAGCAACGCCTCCAGACCCTTGTACAGTTTGCAGTACTCGTAGTCCAGCAACAGTTCGCTGGCGCCCTTGGCGCGTATCTGGACCTGCTTGCAGGCGCGACTGTAGGCCTCGTGGCGCGACACTTCGCTCAGCTTGTTGCAGAATGTCTCCTGGCCGATGCGCTTGATGATCAGCTGACTGATGTCCTCGCGCCGCTGATTGGGCAGGGAATTGTCATTGAACTGTATGCAGAGGCCCATGAGAAAGGCGCACATGCCCTGCACCAGATACTCGCGCTCATCATGCTCATTGGCGCACAGCTGGGCCGTCAGATAGGCCATGGTGCCCTGCGTCTCCAGCAGAGCCTTAACAGCGCTGGGACAATGGGCCAGCCAAACGCTGAGCAGCATTAGCAGGCCCACCTTGCTCTGCAAACGACAGCGCTCCTGCTGAATGAGATTGGTGCATTGCTCTAGAAGTGTGATGGGACGCTGTCCGCCTGGCGTGCCTAGCAGGACACGCAATAGCTCCTCCTTTTGGGCAACATTGTCGACGAGCGCGTGCATCATGGCCACAGCCGAGAACCAATTGGCCAGCGTATCCGTCGATAAGAGACCCGTGAGGAGCAGCAGGCCCATGGTCAGCACACTAAAATCCGTGGGACTGAAAGGCAGCAGCGTCTGCACCAACGCACGCTGACCGTCCACGTTGCGATAGAGGAAACACTGGAAACAGTAGAGCACCGCACAGCGCAGCGACTGTATTCGCTTTTCATTGATCATGGACATCAGGAGCACCACAATTGCGGGACGTGGCGGCTGGCTGGGCGCCGTCAAACGGCCCAGCTCGTCCTGATTGTCGCGATCGCCACGCACCACCTCAGCAACAGCATTGATGGTCTCCGTTAAAATGTCCGCGGGCACACCGCTGCCCATTAGGATGTCGCAGAGCGCCTTCAGCAGCTGCGACTTTTGCATGACACGCTGACAGGCGCTGACCACCTGCTGCTGATTGCTGGGCGTGACCAGAGCACGCACCACCTGCAGCATGCAATGAAAATTGGACACCTTTTGTGGTGTCCAGCCGCATTCCTCTAGGTCGCTGCTATTGGTGCTGCTCAAGATGAACATGGGGGCCAGACGTTGTATGTAGGAGCCCTCCTTGAAGAACTGCTGATTGCTTGAGTTATTCTTAAGGAGATTCAGCAGCAGAATAAGACAATCCTCGACAACAATGCCGCCATCCGAGCAGCCCTCCTCGCGCACAATATCGAACAGACGATCGAAGGCGTTCTCGAATGCGACAATCTTTTGTATATTGGAATTGCCCTTGGTCAGCTCAATGAGTAGCAGCAGTACATCGTTTCTGATCACCTCGCGAGTGTCTGTGAGCAGATCCATTAGCTTGGACACGCCCATCGGACTAACTAGCACCAGATCCTGCAGTTCGCGCGTCTTGTTCGCAATCAGAGATGTTATTAGTTGTATGGCCGCGCGTCGAACACGAAAATCATACTCATCCAGATAGCCCATGACCAGGGTGACATGCTCGGGACTCTTGATGAACATCTCGGTGAACTGTTCGCCCACGTTGACGGACACCGCCGGATTGTCGGCTTCCTCGTCGAACTCCTCGCTGGTCACAATGTTGCACAGCGTGTCGAGGGCGTAGCCAATTATCTCAGCGTCTTGGCCATCGTTTTGCAGCACCTGTATTAGAGGTGGCATGCCCTGGGCGCCCACTTCTATCCGATATTTGCGTGAGAGCGCTTTTAATGCCCGGCACGCATCCCGGCGATCCTCGAGCAGTGTTGAGGAATAAACTCGATCGACGAGCTTCTCAACGGTCTCGGCTGCGCTGGGCTGCTGGCCCGGCTCTGTGCCGCCCAGCACGGTCTTGATGCCACTCTTCAAGTACTCCATCCACTTTCTGCTTATCTAAACGACGTGTTCAATATGTTATAATATATTTAAGCTAACATATATCTGACACGTCAATTTCTATAAAAACAATTTACCACACCAGTGTGAGCACACTCAAAGTTGAGAAAATAGTGCCCGATAATTCGAGCCACCAATTAAATAACTATTGAAAGCCGCTGATTTAATAAACTGTTTAGTCTAGTTGCATTTGTGTTTTGGCTCACTTTCAGCTGGGAAAAGACTACAAATATATATAAAAATAAATTGGTACTTAGGAAACGCCATAAAGGATTTGGCATTTTTTGGTGCATTATACCGCATTGTTTATTTTATAAGTCCCATTACAACCAGTGTATACACATCAATTGACAGATAATGTTGAAAACGCCAATAATTTGAATATCAATGAAACAGACACCGAAATAGGCTCATTTTATTATTACTTCCAGATGGGATTTTATAAATCTAGTCTTGCCAGCATTTTTGTATATATTTTTATATATTGTATATTGTGACTATCGATAGTTGGTCGTTATTATTATTTTTTTTTTTTTGGTAATTTTTAGTGCTAGAGCGCAGCATTATAGAAAATTCTGTGCATAGAGCAATACTGGTTGAATTTTTTTGTTGTAACTTTTGCTGTTTTTGTTTATTATGCATTTGTTTGCAGATGAGTTGTTAATTAAATGGATGCCACAAATGTCAATGCATAAATGAGCTTCAAAATGAACGCTGCACAATTGCAGTGGCTATGCCTGTGGCCGCTGCTCGCCCTCGTAACGCAGACGACCTTTGTTGTGCAGGCAATGTGCCCCAAAAAATGCAGCTGCAAGAACATCTCAGAAAATATACAATCTTTGCGCGTCCGCTGCGATGAGCAGCAAATTGTTAATTGGAAGGAACTGAACTTTGGCGACGATGTCCACAACATAGACAGCATGTAAGTGTGCACATTAAATTCATTGCAATAACAACACATCTGTATAATAACAAAAATCGGGGCACTTGCAGCACGGCCAGCAAAAATGCAATTGCACAAATTACCGAAGATGATTTCAAGAGCTTTACGAAACTTAAACGTTTGGATTTAAACTCAAATCTGCTCAGCGAACTGGACAAGGACACCTTTGGCAACAGTTTGCCAAACGTAGAGCGCTTGCGGCTGGCAAATAACTCAATAAGTCACATATACGAAGGCGCCTTCGAACAGATGCCCAAGCTGAAGCAGCTGTAAGTTTTTGCACCCCGATGGCTTAATAGGCAGAAGGAAGCAGCCATAGAGTATATTAATTCTTGATCAGAACGACGAGCTGTCGATCTATCCGACTGTCCGACTGTCTGCTTGTCTGAAACCTGAGAAGCTAGAGACAATTGTATATACATATATATTCATTAACATTATCGATTCATTTCAAACAGCCAGAAATTATAAAAACTAGATTACACCATGGTAATGAGCACATCTAGAGCCTTGCGCCTTGATATACAAGCACTTTTCTATGCCATAGCTATGTCCTGCAATTGTCGCTAAGATCAGACATTAAGCAAGGAAGGTTTACCCTGTACCCTTAAATGCCCTGTTAAAGCGAGATTATTAGTAAAGGGCAGCTTTGGGGGCATTAGCTAGCCAAGCACTTACTTGCAACTTGATTTTGTTTACTAAATTTGCATTAATTTTCACAGTGATTTGTCCAACAATCCCTTGGCCTGTGACTGTGGACTCATTTGGCTGATTGCCTGGTCGAATGCGCGCGATATACGCTTACAGCCGCCGCCCAAATGTGATTCACCCATCAATTTTCGTGGCATGCCGCTCAAGAAACTCAAAGTCGGCATTGACTTTCGCTGCGAATCACTGTTGCAGCCGCTGCTGGAGCTGGTGCCCAAACAGAATCAGGTGCGCAACTTGAACCTTGATGACTTTAGCATATGCATCTATACATTAAACATTTGCAGATTGCCTTTGAGGGCGACGAGCTGCAGCTGAAGTGCTATGCGCCGCGTGTGGCCATTGGGGCACCGCGCGAATCTGAGGATTTGCCGACGCGCGCCTATGTCTTCTGGGGCTGGTCGGATAAGATACGGCAGCACAACTCGACGGATGATATCATCTATCGTGATCCGACCAAAATATTTAACGATGTGCATCTGGATTCGCGTCACTCAACCGATTCGGGCATACTCAATTCGATTTTGCGCATCGGTAGCCTAACACAGAATCATACGGGCATGTGGGACTGCACGCTGCGCAGCCAACAGGCGAATCTCTCCCAGTCCATAGTGCTGCACGTTGTGGCCAAGGGCACGCTCTACTGCGATGCCGTTGTGACGCACACAAACAAAGGCAGCTACCACTGGCCGCGCACCATGCGCGGCGAGACCGTGCTGCAGGCTTGCGTCGAGGAGCCGAGCGATGTTAGCCAGCAGCGTCGCGCCTCCCACGAATGCGGCCACAACGGCCAGTGGCAGCAGCTGAACACGGCGAGCTGTGTCTATGTCAGCGAAACGACGCGCATATTCGAGCAGTTCGCCAAGGTGAATCTGACGCTGACCAAGGGCCAGAATGCGCTGGAGATAGCGCGACGCTTGCACAATTTTACGCACATACAGACGCAGCTGCACAAGATACGCGATCCGATGGATTTGGAGTATATAGCGCGCACGCTGCTCAAGTATCTGGAGCAGCTGGAGGCGCATCAACAGGAGATTAGCTATCTGCTAATGGACATTGTCTCGCAGCTGTTAACGCTGCCCGTCAAGCTGTTCGAGGCCGCACAGCTGCAGCAATCAACTGGCCACAAGCTGTTGCACATTGTCGAAACTGCCGCCTTGCGTCTGGCCAGCTCCAGCGGCAGCGGCAGCGAGAGCGAGCTGAGCGAGGGGCGACATCAATCGTTGTCGCAGCGTAACATCTTTGTGGAGTTCTTCGACATCAGCCCGGAACAGTTTGTGAGCATGTCGTGCGTCTGGCTGGCTGGCAGCCAGCGTGGCCTGCAATGCAACAGCGCCAACGATACAATACCAATGTACGAGCATGGCGATATCGATGCGGCCATACAGCTGCCACAGCAGGTGCTCAACGAGCAGCTAACGGCCGGCGGCAGCAACCAGAGCACGAGCAGCGTTCGGCTGATGATCACGCTGCATCGCTATGCCAAGCTATTGCCGCAGCTGCAGAGCGAGCACAATGAGACGCTCTCCTCGGTCATTATAGGCGCACGTCTCTACAGCAGCAGCAGCAGCAGCAGCAGCACGGACGAGCCGCTGGCCAGTCAAGCGCTGGCGTCCGGCGATGAACTCAATATGATGGAGCAGGAGGATGTCTATCAGCAACGCATCACGATCATGCTGCGCGCACATCCGTATCACGATGAGCGCAGCGCACCGCTGCCCGCCTGGTGGGACGAACAGCAGCAGGCCTGGAATCCACATGTCTGCCAGCAGCATTATCAGCATCGCAATCTGATCATGTTTAGCTGCAGTCGCAGTGCTGGCTACTTTGGGCTATTGCAGCGCGCCGCCTATTTGAATGATTATCGCAGCGAGTGGGCGGGTGCACGTTTCCGCCACGCCCCGCTGCCAATATATGTGGGCTGTGCGGTGCTATTTGCCTGCGCCTGGTTCAACATTGTCACCTTTGTCGTATTCGGCTGTGCCATACGCATCAATCGTGTGCAGCGGCATGCGCTGGTCAATACCTGGCTGGCGCTCGCCACGCTCTGCTTGACCTTTGTGCTGGGCATCTATCAGACGACAAATTTGCTGCACTGCCGCCTCATTGGACTGCTGTTGCACTATCTCAGCCTCTGTGTGCTGCTCTGGCTGTGCGTTAGCCTGAGCAGCATGTACAAGCGTCTCAGCAAATCGACAATGGCCACATCTTTGCCGATGCCGACCTCGGCGGCGGCAGCGGCAGCCGGATCGATGCCACAGGAGCCGCATCAGCGTAAACCGATTTTGGGCATCTATCTGGTCGGCTGGGGCATTGCGCTGCTCATCTGTGGCATTAGCAGCGCCGTCAACATGTCCGAATATGCCGCCTATAGCTACTGTTTTCTGCACAATTCGACTACGCTGAATGCGCTGCTTGTGCCCGCCGGCATTCTGCTTATCTTTAGCGGCATCCTGGCGTTGTGCATCTACTATCAACTCAGCCAGCAGACGGTGAATGTGCTCCAACAGCAGCAGCAGCAGCAGCAGCAACAGCAACAGCATCAACAGCATCTCGGCCAGCGTCAATATTCGGATAACAATACACAGGCGACGGAGCACATCGATTTGGACTGGCTGGACGCGAATGGCTGTGCCACCACCATCAAGCAGGAGGCGCACACAAATGCCAGCAGCTCGGCGCTGCAGCTGCAGCTACAGGAACAGTACAGCACGCTGAGCAATCCGTTGAGCAGCATTGTTGATGATTTCGAGCGCTCCAATATGTCCCATTTGCGCGGACATTTCATCTTCCTTGTGCTCTATGTGGGCGCCTGGCTATCGGCTGCCCTCTATGTGCACAGCGAGCAGCAGCTGTATGTGCTCGGTTTTGTGGCCAGCTGTGTGGCCTTGGGCCTGTTCCTGCTGCTCTTCTACAATTTGACCAGAAACGATGCACGTCAGGCGTGGACACAGCATCATCGCCTGGCACGTTCCAGCCGTCTGGTGGCCTATAATAATGCGCGCATGGGCTCGGCCTCGCGCTCGGCAACCGCTGCGGGCGGCACTGGCAATGCCAAGGCCGGTGGCAGCGGCGCTGCTTTGATTAGCAACTCAATTGTAGCTTATAAAGCCGGACCCGGCAGCCTCTATGAGCCAAACAATTCGGCTGGATCACGCTCCAATAGCCAGTGCTCCAATAAACAGCGCAGCAGCAGCGCCCGTAGCATGCGCAGCCAGACCCGAAGCAATGGACAACTGGACTGCACGACACAGCAGCTGCTGTTGGGCGCTGGCGCTGCCTCCGGCACATCCACGCACGGCGGCATCACCATCATCAATAACAATCATGGCCAGCAGCAGCAGCAGCAGCAGCAGCAGCAGCATCAACAACAGCAGTCGTTAAGCGCCGCCACATCCGTGTCGCAGCAGGCGGTTGGGCAGCACAGTCTGAACGCAATGCTGCATATGGGCAACGGGCAGGAGAGCATACCCAGCGCCGAGCTCTTCTACAATCCCAATCAGATCAATGTGGCGCGCAAGTTCTTTAAGAAACAGAAACGTCTGGCCAAGCGCAACAATTTTGAGCTGCAGCGCCAGGCGCTGCCCAGC